AGAAGTGAAATACTTCCATGACAAAGAACTAAAGAATTTCATGATGACAAAGCCAACCCTACACAGACTACTAAAAGATATTCTAAAGAGGGATCAAAATGACAACTCCATGAATGAGAATGGAAGAACCCACCAAGTAGGGCAAACAAAGACAGGAGAAAAAGAGGTATACAACAGCAGGTAAATAACACGTTAAACATAAGTCAGTACATCTCAATTATAACCATAAATGTAAACAGACTCGATTCACCAATTAAAAGAAACAGACTGGCAGAGTGGATTAAGAAGCAAAATGCAACAATATGCTGTGTAAGACTTCATCTATCAATTGGTTGGTTTATCTTCAAAGTTTTGTCCAGCTGGTAATGTCAATAGTTCTACGATTTGTGCCTCAGGAACACAACTGTTTTCATAAATCACAAATGCTTTGTCCTGGCTTTATGGCTTATTGACTTAGAAATAAATTTTCTGCAAGATTAGAATTCAGTGTAGATGCTGCCAAAGTTCTTACCAATTTGAATGTGGGAAAATTAGAGGAATCATGTACTAGAACAACAGATATTCTACACTATACATCTTAGTTTTGAAATACATCTATAAAACAAGTATACACTGTCCTCAAATTCTGCAATTATCTTAAAGAAAAAGTCACTTAAATCACATTCCCATTATTAAATGATAAATTCTAATTCTAGAAAAATATATAAGAAATCTTATTGGTAAATACCACTTTTTGAGTTATGTTCTAGATATTTCTTTAAAATAGGTATTTAACTGATAGATCTTCATTTGGCCTCCAATGTGTTCTTGATTTTGAATTTTTTTTCTCTGTTTTGTATTAATGTTTAGGTTTGGATGGGTCATGCAGCTTTTACTGTTTTTAATGTGAAAATATGTGCTCTTGTATTTATCATTTTTCTAGTTTCAACACTGCTGTGGCCGGAAATTTCACACTTTTGTTACTTGTTAAATCCTCAAATCCTATAAGTAGGTTTCAGATCACTGTTCTTGATTCATTTTGTTTCTTAATTCAATGAGACTTTTTGATGTGTGTATACGTGACGTGCACGACAATCTTTACTGCTCTCTATGTCCTCAACTGTATGAAATTTATAAACATAATACATTTTTATTTTGCATAAAAAATATAATTTTACAAAGTCCACTACAGCTTTGAGAACCAATTTATAAATTAAAAAAAATAAAATAACTTGAGACTTTTATAATAGGAAAGGTCCACTGCACCAAGCACTGACAATACTGTTCTTTAAAAACTTCACGAGGTTGACTTAGTTCCCTGAGAATATTACAACCATAAACATAATTCTCAAATCGGTACACTCAGAAATTCAAAAGGCTACTTCTTCAATTAAGTGAAAACACAGTAAACAACAGATGCTTATTTAAGTACCCACAATTTTCAGGCACTATGTTAGGGGCCAGGAAAAGAGACATGTGAAATGTTACCCCTACCCTCATGAAATGTACGCTCTGAAAGAAGAGAAGATATTAAAAGGGTAAATGTAATAAAATGAAGTGATTTAACACTAGGGGAAGTTAGGTACAAAAAAATGACAAAGCAGGCAGACTTAACTTGGTCTGAGCATCAGGGAAAGTAACTTAAAAAAAAATAAAATAAAATAACATCTCCATGGAGACCTGAAGGACCAAAGATAGCTCGAGATAGAGGAGACACTCTGTGCAAAGGCTTGGAAGCAAGAGCTCAGCTCAGCTGAAGAAGAAAACTTTACATGACCAAACACAGTATAAGGAATAAGGAAAGAAAAGCATTGTGCAGGGACTTATAAGGCATGTTTTTTTTTAAAAAGACATTTGAATCATCTCATGAGGAAAGCCAACCCAAAAGGCCAAAGCCTGAAAGTGAACGGTGACTGTGTGCTTTTCAAAGAGAGCTCTGAAGTCTTGGCTTGGAAGAAGCAAATCTATAGGCAGGAAGTTCAGGTAAAAGAATGTGCCACGTGAGTCACCAGGGCCTGGCTGCCAAGAATGGGGTCCCTGAAAAGTCAGGCTGACTGGCCTCGGGAAAAGACAGGATAGGGAAGGGTTGGCAATAGCTTCCTCCCCTTCACATGATCCACATGATGCATAAATGCATCATTTATGGCTTAAGATTACTAAAGAATTTTGCAGAGAAGATGAAAAGTTTCATCCTCACCTGATAAATGACATAAAATTAATTGCTTTTCATGTGACATATTGAGCACTAGGAATGCACTATTATACCCTAGGCAGATTAATGTAAATACTATTTTCTAGTAATGAGTTATTCCAATGAACCATAAGAACTAGTAACCTCTCATGACAAGACATCAAAGCCCAAATTAATCACCTGTCCAGATCGGTGTAGATAAAAAGTGTGACTGAAAAATATGATGAATGTTTAAATTATCTTTTCAAATTATTACAGTAAGACACACTGCCATTAGCCCCCCTCAAGACACTCCGCCTTTCTTCAAACACACTTTTCCAGGCTTCCACCCCTTTCTGAAGAGGTTCTGGAAGTCCTCCTTTACGTCTTTAGTTGCTTGCCAAGGCTGCCTCAGCGTCCTGAACTGATCAAAACATTTCCCTTGCAAGGTCATTTTGACTGAGGAAGAAGCCACAGTGCCAGGGACGGTGAGTAAAGGAGACAAGGACACACTGCTGGCCGCACAGCTGCCTCACCACTGCAGGGCACACGGCGCTGCCTGAATACCTCACAAAGACAGTCATGAAGGACTTCAGAACTGCTTCAGAAAGTGGCTAAGTGGTGGGCTAAGTGTGTTCAAAGGGAGCGGAAGTATTGTAAGGGGATTAGTGGCAATATGTCTGTGATGTTTTGTGTCTAGTTGTCCCCCAAAGTCTCATGTAAATTATGGGGCAGACACAGCTGGAGGAGCAACCAGTGGCTTGCGAGGCAGGGCCAGAGGCCCAGGGCGGTGCCCGAGGGGCGCGTGAACCATTAAAACTGGCTAGCCTGTGCTTTCTCAGAGGGGTGGAGAGGGTCATCCTGGACATGGTACTGCCCCAGCCTCTCCTCCGGGGTCTTGAAACTTCCAGTAACCATGAGCTAAATAAGCCTTTCCTTCCCTCATTTTGAGGGTCAGGTATTTGTCCCAGCAATGAGAAAAGAGTAACTAACAGTGTCCTTTTCTGTCCTATGTTTTAACATTAACTGTACATTTCTATAACCCTCTGCATACAAGGAGCAAGTGTTGTGGTTTGTGTTTGGTTGTCTCCCCAGAGCCTCATAATAGTCACAGGGCCAACTTCTAGAGTTTGTGATTAATTCATGATCCAAGGCTGGGATTATGTGCGTGAGTGCTGCATCCGCCCTGGGGCAGGTGCCTGAAGGCAGCATAGGAAGAGAGAGGCTGGCTAGCTGCGCAGCTGCTGCTCCTCCTCCCTTCGCTCTTTGCTGTTTTCCACCACCAGGAGCTGCCGCCCTCTACCACATGCCACTCTGCCTTGGCGCCAGCCGAGTACGGATTGAAACTTCCACTAACTGTAACCTAAATAAACCTTTCCTTCCTTCATTTTACATGTCAGGTATTTTATATCAGCAATAAGAGAAAAGTAATCAAGACAGCAAGGAAACCAATGATGTCCAATATTAACTGAAGTTGTTGTTGAGTATTCAATGTGAAATAAAACAAGAAAATATTTTCTCGGACATGGTGGTGCACATCTGTAATCCCAAGAGGCATCTCAGGCGGCTGAGGCAGGAGGATCACTGCAAGTTCGAGGCCAGCCTGGGCTATAGAGGGAGTGACTTGAAGCTAGCCTGAACTACATAGGGAAGCTTTGTCTCAAAAAAACAAAAGAAAAAATCCTTTTTTCTCTTTAATTTAAATTACATAAAATTGCAGTGGTGTTAAGACAATAACTACAATTAATGCTGAACAATCACACGCAACTAAAGGACATAAGAACAAACACTTTTAACCTTGAGTAGATACACTGTCACCATAAATATTAGTAGTGAAGCAAACCTACCCAATAAGTCTATCAAAAGGAAACATACTTTCATACTTGAGAGATATTCCTTTTTTTTTTTTTTTTTTTTTGGTGGTACCAGGGATTGAACTCAGGACCTTGCACTTGCCAGGCAAGCACTTATCCCACTGAGCTATCTCCCTGGCCCTTAAAGATATTTCTAGCAATGGATTTCCCCAGCAAGTCAGACACAAAGAGCTCACCTACCGTACTTGCTTGGCAGCCTCCAGTACACAGGGCACAATCTTAAACCCGGGTTGCTCTTCAGAGTCTTCCTGTGGCTGGTCCGGAGGCGGAGCAGCCCCATTTCTAATCCATTCCAACATTAGTTTCTCGTCCAAATCAAAGAGCTTATCCACAACCTCCCCCACCTTCACCAGCAAGTCAACTGCAGAAAACACAGGGATCGAGGGACTGAGATGAGAAACAAAACATTTAAAGCAGTAAGACCAAGCAAAATTTCTAAAACCACAGCAAGAAATCCAAATCTTGCCAAAGTAATACATATTCTAAAAGCGATTTATTTTTCCCCTGTGCTTAAATTTGCTTATCTTTCTTCATTTTTAAATGGGGTATGTATCAGTGTCCTGGAAATCTGAGAATAAATTTTATGACTTGATCAAAATGTCTTGTTTTGCATTTTCCTTCTGTTAAAGTGACTGCCAGAAACAGTTACATGGTTGACTAACAAAAATAACCTGAAACATTTTTTAGACTACCTGGTGACTTACCATTTGTTGAGCTTGACATGATGAAACAAATGCTATCATAAACAGCGGGATACTCCCGGATCCTTTCCACCCAGACACTGGCCACTTCTGTCTGGGAAAGGCAAGTAAGCAACAACCTACATGACAAATGTGAGCTTAATATCTAGCTTCTAAAAACAGCAGAGTGCTTAATTGGGCAAATGGGAGAAAATTTATTAAGAGATCAGGATGCTGACATGAATTTATTGATATGAAAGGGTGTTCACTACACTCTGGTAAGTGAAACAGCAAAAAATGGCATATATAGCACTGCCAATTTTTCATTTTCAAAAATACATTAATATGTACAGATAATCTATCCCTGGAAGTAAGATGCTGAGCACAGCATCTATATTTTTCTTTGAATTATGGGTAATATTTTTTTTTTATTACTGGTGCTGTTATAAAATGTTTCTAAGAGGAAGAAATCCAGAAATGCTGGAAGTACCTAAGGTCATGTCTATATCAATAAGCTTCACTGTAGTAAGCATATCAATATACACCTATCTCAAAACATGATGTACACTTAATATATGATTTGACAATCACACTCAACGAAGAAGTTTAAAAACAGTGTAGGAAATTGAAGAACTGATTTGCCTAGATTCTTTTTCAGGTGATGCCATGGAATCCACAGAAAAAGCACAGCATACCTGCTTGTCTCCAGCAGAGTAGGTGGGTCCGAATCATATAAACAGTGCAGTAACACCTGCCTACGAAAGAAAACACGTGACCCATGCACTTGAGTAGCATCCCTCCTTTCAAACAGCAGGGTTTTAACTGTTTTTTAAAATATTTTTATTATCATATAAGGCATCTATACACAGAAGTTTATAGTTGATAATTACAAAGCAAGCAAGAAACACAACAGTGCTGCTTATCCATACCCTGTGTGTCCAATTCAAAAAAAAAATTTTCCCACCTAGAAAAGGTCATTAAAAAAATAGAAAAGGTCATCCTGACTTGTCCAACAACCATTTTTCTCACTTTGTTGCCTAGTTTTACTATTATATATATATATATATATATATATATATATATTTGGCTTTACTTTTAAACTTTATATAAAAGAAATAACATTTTATTATTTTCTTTAAACTTCTTTCAGTTATCTATAAATCTTTTTTGTTTTTAAATACTATACATATTAATAGGGTACAATAGGATACTTCAATACATGTATATACATTCTTAGGTCTTAGGTTTTTGCTCAAAACCATGTACATACATGTACATAACTGTACACATACAACCATGTACATGCTATTCTTTATTACTGCAGAACATCCCATTGCATGACTATAATACAACTTTCTTTTTCAGGTTACTGTTGACATTTAGCTTGACTATAATTCCAGGCTGTTTCAGCCCATAGTCCTATAAAAGTATTTGCATAAGGGGTGATGAGAATATACTTCAGTGGTACAGCACTTGCCTAGAACACACAAAGACTCTAGATTCAACAGCCAGCACCACAAAGTAATGCATATGTATATATCCCAAGTTAACTAGACGATGCCCAAATGCCCAGCTGTTCTAAAGAAACCGAACATATTCATGTTCCATTAGTGTTACAAACTATACTATATTTTAAGGTAAGTATTAATTGAATTCACAAAATTTGTTAACATTTTGATTGATGAATTTTTGATAGGAAAACTAGAGACCCACAAATTCTGTAAATGACTATCAATTACTTTTTTTTTTTTTTGACTATAAATTACTAAGGAATATCTTGAACTAAGATCTTAAGAGTCTCTCTGGGGCCGGGGAGATGGCTCAGTGGAATAAGCGCTTCCCTGGCAAGCTCAAGGGCCTGAGTTTGATCCCCGGTTCCACAAAAAAAAAAAAAAAAAAAAAAGTCTCTCTACACCTACCAGAGGTTAAATAGCTTTCTTTTAGAGGTTTAGGAGCTTGAATTTTATCCTAATTCTTCATGGTCCCAACTCTGAAACCACTACCTGGACAAGCACTTTCCTTAACCTATTTTGGGCACAGATTTCTTTGGGCTCCTGATTAATAGCCATGAACCCTCTGCATAGAAATTGAATGCACTCACCAAATTTTGCATGGTAATTTCAGGGTGTTCTCAGATCTCCTACAATAACCACCAGTGTATCCACCATTAAAAAAACTCTTGAGGCCGGTGAGATAGCTCAGTGATCCAAAGTACCTGCTTAGGCAAGCTTAGGCAGGTGCAGGGGACAGTGGTTTAACTCCTGGCACCACATGCTGCACCAGCCCCACTCTCAGGGTGGGCTGAGGTGGCAAAATAAATAAATAAATAAGTAAAACTCTCTGCTCAAAAACTTTCCTGCACACAGAAAAGAACTAGCCTCTAAGCAGAAGTATGAAAACCTCATAATCACATAAAGGTAACCCTTTATCTAATAGCTTGTCGGCAAAATTTATTCCTTGAGGTAAGTTAAAGCTCTCAGAGTGACACTGCTTACAGACCTACTTCCCTGGACAAACCTGCTTCTTAGTTCTTTGAGTCCTTGGATTCCTTATGTCTACATTGTTTTGTACTCTGGCCACCTGTCCCCATTACCAAGTTTGCTCCCACACACTCCTGCCCTATCCTGTTGCCTACTGACCACCTGCAGGTGCCTTTGCAACTCATGAAAATGGGTATAAATCGTGAACCATGGCCACGCACAGTGTGGAAGCCCCACAACACCACCAACATAAAAGGAAGTTCCTGAGAGTGTTCATGGAGATGAAAGAAACACTACATTTCATACTTTCCCATCTTTGCAATTATTATTATTTTCTTGGGATATGAAATATGAACCTAATTTAATTGTAATTATTATAAAGTAAGACTTACCCAAGATTTTTATCACTGCTGATAGACACACATATCTCCTGGAAACAGGCCATGTTCCCTAAAATTCCCACACAGATTTCCTGCAAAATTAAATTTCACAAGTCACAATGGCTCTGAAATGAAAGACACATATATAAAAATAATAACTTGAACCAAAACTTTCACTAGGCCAAGTTAAGGCAGAGGTGAATAGGAAGCAGGTTAGACAAGTTAGGGGGCCTACACCCTAGCTCTGACAAGTTCATGGCATTTGAGAAGAAATGAAAGAGACACATAAAAGAAAGAAAAGAAGAAATGTTAGAGATGAAGTGACTCTTAAGGGAATAATGCATATAGCTAATACATACACAGCTAATAAAGAAAGCACCCTGGCCATAGCACAAAGTGGGAAAACAGCACACGATAAGTATAGCAGACAAGAAGGATCAGGTTTAATGCTTTGAATGTCATGCTGAAGAGTTTACACTTAATCTAGGAGATTATCTGGAGCGAAGAAGGTTCTTACAGAGAGACAACATACTGAAGCAGTAATTTAGGAAGATGATTCTGGCAACAAAATACATAAGCATTACAGTGAAAAGTCTGAAAGACATTATGATTCTACCTCAGCACTCATGATGACCAGGTAGTACTCTATTCTCCCTGTACCACTGCACATAATGTACAAGGTAGGAATGTTAGCCCCATTTTTCAGAGAAAGAAACCAAAGCACAGAGAACTTCAACAACTAACTGGCCTAAGATCTCCATCTAGGAAACACAGATCCAGAGCCTGGTCATTTAGCCAAAGTACATTAATGCACCTCAGTAATCAAGATGAAGATGAGGCTGTCATAGCTGACAGTGGGGGTGGCAGGAAGATATAGGAAAGGATGAAGCAGAGACAGGCTCTGCTAGAAGACGAAAGCAGAAAGCAGCTGAACCTGATTCGGAAGTTTCAAATGCCTCATCTGTCTACTCAGAGACCCTGGTCCCATAGGAAAACTAAAGAAAGAGTATGAGAGGACAGAGTTCCAGCAGTACCATTTCCAAACTTAATGGAAGCTATAAATCATTAAGGGTAATCTTATTGATCAGTGTGACAATCACTGAGTTAGGACACAAGGAATCTGGGACCAGAAAATACAGCACACAATTAGAGAATACCTGAAGGAGGTTGGAGATATGGTACCAAAAACCAGAACAGAAGCTAGGGCTTTGATTCTACAGGCAGAGCTGCAACTCAGGAGTATAAAAAGTAGAGGAGCTCAGCAAGGAAATGCACAGGAAAAGCAAGGAACTAGCCTGTAGCTTTTTTGAAAGAGTCCATATTCAGGGTACAGGAAGAAAGAAAATTGCTAGTCAAAGTGACAGCGAAGGGACTGAGACTTCAGGTCCTATAAAAGCTCGGGGGAGAGAGGGGAGATGGCTCAGTGGAATAAGTGCTTCCCTGGCAAGTGCAAGGGCCTGAGTTCAATCCCTGGTTCCGCAAAAAAAAAAAAAAAAAAAAAAAAGCTCCAGGGATAGAGCTTCAATCAAATGTGGCATTCAAGTGTTGGGAAAGGATTACAAGAATGGAGAGCCAGCTAGACAGCTCAGCAGTCTAAGTACCTGCCTGGGCAAACTCAAGGATCAAGGTTTGATCCCTGGCACCTCAGGCACAAGGGCCCCGCCCCTGTGTGTGCTGAGCCACCACTGAGTCCTACTATGGTGGCACACACCTGTAATCCCAGCGCTGGGGAGGCTGCAAACAGCAGGATCACTATTAAGTCCAAGCTGTGTAGTGGGACCCTGTACTAAATACATTAAGGGGGGGGGGGCAGAAAAGAAACACATATACCTCCCTTACAAATGAAAATGGAAATAACTGCACTTCCAACCAAAGACCAAGTACCTCAGTCTCTGCTGCTCACCACAAACACCTAAAGAACTTCAAAACTTTAGTCTAGACTCTCAGCAGGGAATATGGTTCCAATCAGGGCTTTCAAAGTTCACTGGGATGAAGTTTCTAAGAGTATGGCCTCCATCAGCACTAGTACATAATCCCACTGGGGACCATCAATCCTAGAGCCTACTGCTGGCCATCTGGATCAGAAATTCGGCAAGTAGGCTCAGCCATCAGCAACGTGGGACCTGCTGAAGTGGAAAAGCTCAACGTCCCAGGTGACTCTAAAGGGAGCCCAGGATGAGAATCACTGAAAATGTATTACAGGATTCTAGACTTTATAACCTCAGAGAAAGAGAAGCAATACAGTACGCATTACACTGGAGTCAGGCCTAGGCTGACATCCCATTTCCACTTTTCCTCAGTTCTTCTATCTATGAAGTATTCCTTATAAGAGCAGTAAAACCAAATACTCAGTGAATAGCAACTACTCCTAAATACAAGTACTCAACAGATGTTTACTAACTGTCCATCATACACACAACACACAGCAATTTAAGAGACAATGAAGCACAGGAAACTCCACAATACATAAATAAGGATCTCATTTAGTCTTTATTATTCTTGGAAGTTTACTATCAGCAATAACCACTAAGACCTTATATATCTGGCAAGGCGAGAAAAACAACTACCCTGAGTAAGAGATAATGAACACCGAGAGAAGACAGAAGACACATAAAGAAATGGCAGCCACAGTCAGTGGATGAGCTCAGATGTACACAGGTGTAGAGACATAGTTTTAAGACAAAAGCCTGATGTCCCAAGAGAGTAGGGAACACTAGACTGAGCCCGAGGAGGGTTGCTGTCTGTTTGCAAATTCCCGGAAAGCTGGGACCCAAAGCAGCAGTTAACAGTTTCTCCTGCAGGCGCTCTGTCCTTTGATCCCTTGCTTGGGATGCTATCAGCTAGCATTTGTGTGAACCTAGTGTTAGGCAAATGGTAGAAGTCAACAGAGATAGTAGTTTGTATTCACTTAAGTAATTATGCACATTCCTCAGCCTGCCTTTACCCCTCAATAAAAGTGCGATGCTTCTGAGGCTCTGGGCTCACTTGGAGAGAGACTAATCTCAGTGAGACCTCTGAAGCCACATTCATCAGGTCTTCTCGTCGTTTCTTTTGGCACCGAATCCTAACATACAACACACAGGGAGTGCCAGGTTGGGCTAGGCTGTGTGCTGGAAAATGACGGAGGTTCAGGCTGTGGAAGTCTTAAGCAACAAACGAAGTTAACATGTTTTTAAAGAACAGAAAATTGAGTGAACAAACAAGAAATATGAACTGAGAAATGAGATGTCTGGGGACTATTCCCTGCATTATCACATACGAGCAGCACAATACAGTGATGACTGGTTTCCACAGCTGTTGAATGAAAGAATGTGCCTCCCTTCATCCAGCTCTTAGCACACAACCAGTGCCAAGACCTACGAGCATTCAATAAACACCTGCAAAACCAATTTATTGATTGCAGCAAGGAAGAAAATCACACTGCGAAAAATGAAATGCACATACTTACTCTTAATCGAGGACACTTGGATTTGGCCAATACACCCATAAATATGTCAGGAGCATTAAATTCTTGGAGAAATAAAGCTACATCCTATAAAATACAAAAATAGTATTTACCTAATTTGTTTTTCTACCCACCATGAATTCTCTAAAACTTACTCAAACACCTTTGCTGATTGCTAGGTCTTATGTCAGAAGCTGGGGGTTAGGGAGAAGAGAGTGAAACTCATAGTTCATATTCTCTAAGAATTTAAACATGATAAAGGAAACCGCTAAGAATTATTGCTGGTTGGTGTTCAAAACTCAGAACCTGTGGCTTCAGAATTCTCAACAGAAAAAAGTCCTGATCACAATATAACTCCAACAGCCTCAAATCTTTCTAGAGTTTACACAGTCTACAGAACCAAACGGGGCACATCACAGAGGTGAATGAACCTGGAATGGACGCAAACTGGGCCAGCTCAGCTCCAGGTTGGCTTACTGATTAAATCAGTTACTGTGGGGAATGGTGCTATGCATTGTAAAATGGTTATATAGGCCACACACTGCTTTGAGCAATGACAAACCACATGTGACAGTGATCTCATAAAATTATATTGCCTAATAATGTCATGCTGTCTCAGTGTGTGCAAGCATGTTCTATGACATTCATAGGGCAAAAATTTAGCGTGTACTAAAATTGTAGCATATCCTGGTACTTCCCAACCCCACCGCCATACCATATGTACATATATACATACATATGCCATACCATATATAGACAAAGTTATTCCTCAGAGTGAAACACTACACCTTTAAAAAAAAAAATGGACTCATCACCTTGATACCCAAGAGTTTTTTCAGAATTTCATGTCCAGCCTCATACCTCATCCATTGACATATCCCATACTTTGCAAATTTCATTTTCCATTTCTTCATCAAGCTCCACCTGCTGCTCCTCATCTTCTGACTTGGATTTGGTGTTTTCAGGTGTGACAATCTTGAGAATCATGAATTAAAGAAATGAATAAAAATTACCCATAGTACTTTCACAAGTATTATCCCATAACCATTCAGAAATCACCAAGAGACTATCTT